ATTAATTTTTATTATTTTTATTATTATGTATTAGTTTTAGTGAGGTATACCTAATAAACCGACAACTGAGTGTGTAATCGCAGCCCAGATGAAAGGACATTTCTGCATGTTAGTGCCGTTGACAACAGATGATCATCTCATGTCATTGTCTGTAAACTGTGCCTCAAATCTGTAATGAAAATAAAGCTTTCTTTTCATCAGGGTGCATCCTACAGCCACAAGGTCTGGTCTATCACCGCCCTCGTGCACTTTAGAATCACCCACACTTGCAATAATACCTCCTACATGTGATAATGGACTTTTCTGTTTCAAGGTTTTTTTATGACCACCAAAAACAGTGATACTTCAAAATGCTCTGCACTGAAATTTACAGCAAAAATTAAGTGTTAAAAAAAACCATTTTTAGTAGAACTACTAAAGATTTGGGATTCAATACAGGTGTCAGAGGGGATCATCAGTTTAACATTCCTTTGTTTGTGAATGTGGAAACATGTGGGATGTGTTTTTTTGTTTTTGTTTTTTGTTTGTTTTATTTTTTTCTTAAAGGTGTCTGTGCTATAGATGACTCGCTTGACTGTGAAAGTGCACTGGAAACAAGAAGTAGGATAATGTCCTTGGAGATATGGTGGTGTGTGTAGTCTCTATTTACCTGACCGACGCTCAGCTCCACCCCACTTGCCCACAGAAAGGTGTACTGTATGACACCGGTCTCCCACTCGCTTTTCCAGTTCCACACACACACAGAGTCCTCGCTTTTACCTACACGTACGGTTTGATCTGCACTTGCACTCTCACTCTCACACCTACTCAGATTTGAGTGATTCTTGACACCTCGGACAGAACAGGTCTTTAGAAGAAATTAGATGTACATGTGAGAAATATATAATCAGCTATCAGCATTCAAATGTATACCCTTTTTTTGCTCATAAAATGTCACTTTGTCAATATCACGGACTATAATACAAAGCAGTGTTAACGCAAATACATTATATCTCCTTTCTTTTACTAAATTATCTTCCTTCTGCTCCTTGTAACACTTCATATTTAATATTAAATGTATAGGCCGCAATCAATACAATGTAAATATTGTTTTTTTTATAGACGGACATTATTTGCTCTTCATACAGATTTGTCACATACAGGGAGTCTGAACATCACATCACACAATCAAAACAAAAACTCATCTATGTAAGATTCATCAGCCATTGTTTCAGTGACTCGTGTGTGTATGTATGTACTTTTAATCTGTCGGATATAGACATGGAGCATATTCCTAGCACAAGAAATTCTTTACAAAACAGTTCTCATACAATTTGTTCGTGGCCTTGGTACTACCAAATGACTAGAACATACTTGACAAATCCGGTGTATGCCATTCTCACAAAAGAAGTGATATATTATTCCAGATAACCCTTTGCATGAAAAATAAGACTAAAGATTTTAAATTAGCTTCCACACTTAATACAAAACTGCTATAGTACTATATAAGTACTACTGCTCTTAAAGGTCTGTAACTACTCACCATCACTAAAAAACCTTGTTATAATATTACTAATATAATTACCATTAGCTCCACCTTGGTTTAACAAAATCAGGGAATTATAACAACAATAGACTATTTGATAATGTAGTTTATGCTCTCAACTCATAAGATATTGATAATTTGGGTTGCGATAAGGATACCATAGAAATCACTGACTGCTGTGTTCATTATTCTGCAAAAAAACAAACAAAATGAGCAGAGAAATAGGTGAGCTACGTTATGTGGTAGTGGTATTGTAGTAGAATAGTAGCAGTAATAATGTTAGCAGTGCTGAGTAGTAACAGACCTGTAATAGAAGTACGGATATATAGTACTCTATGGGTATTGTATTAAGACTGCAGTATATTCTGTCATAATGTAACTGATATTTTATTTTTAGACTCTAATTTATTTTCAAAATCTGAATGAAGAACAAATAGTGTTTGCCTATTAAAACCATTTGATATTTACATTGATTGGATACATTTATATTAAATATGAAGCATTACAAGTAGTATAGGGAAGGTAATGTAGTATAAAAATGAGAAATAATATTCGTGAAAAAATTGCTTTGTATTGTATTTGGTGTTTTTGACAAAGTTATCACACAAAGACAAGATTTAAGACCAAAAAGGTATAAATTTGAATGCTGATGGTTTATTATATATTTTATTTGATTTCTAACGGACATCAAATGTTTTCTGAAGACCTGTCCAAGGTGTCAAATATCAGCACAATTTGAGTAGGTGTGGGAGCGAAGGCAGTGTCAGTGGCCCACTTTGGTTCCAAGCGAATGATCTCAGATGGATTGCCTTGACATTTTAAACAGACATTCATGGTTAATCCTCCTGACTTTGATGATCTCCTGACTTTTTATCTTGTACCACCGACAGGTCAAAATGTTAAGAATCACATAACAATATAAGACAATTGTATGACGACTTGCGGTTCACAATAAGTTCAGATTGTTTTGACCAAAAAAAGCACACTTTATTCCAGCTCTTTCGATGTCCATTAGTGAGTAAATACGTAATCCTGCCAGACACGCAGCGTCTAATCCCTATAATCCAAACATTTCGGACTCTGTATAAGACATTCCTCCACCTCCTCTTATACAAGTATTCAAAGATCCAGCAATAACGAGCAGTTGCTAATGGTGACCGTCAGTGATTGATATGTACACGAATGGTGTCTGACATGGCTTTTCTATTGTAAGGCTGCTAGCTAAGTGTTCCTCCATTATTTCTGCTCTCGTTGTTCTGCTTTGTTCCGGCAAGAACCAGGTATTGATTAAGAGGTTGCTAAGCAACAGGCTTAGCTGCCTCAGAAGCGAGCAGGGGAGAACAGAAAGCCAGATGTAATGTGCTGCTCTGTTACAGTATGACTTTCCTTCAGCTGCCTCTGTGAAGCTTTTCACCAAAACTTTCCAGTCCTTGAACCCTTTTTAAATAACTCATTTCCCCAAAACAGAGTATCTGCTTTTGTTTTACCAATTTGTACAACTGTAGATTCTAGGAGTACTTTGCTATAACTTTGACTACGTACTTTGGCACTTTTGCTTTAAATACAAACATTATATTTAGACATGGAGGGGGGGGTTAAAAGCTCCTTGTTAGCATGCAGTTTCTTTAAGATAGTTTGATGCCATGATTAGAATTTTATTAGAGACCAATCTAGTAACCAAAAAAACCCAAAATGTTGTTTTTCAATGCTGCTACAACTATTACTGGAGTATTCTTGTTCTTGTACATCATTACTTGTAGTTAGTTCTTATGCCACTAATAGAAAACTTTTTTCATCACACCTGAATATAAGCACAATAAATGCTCTGTTCTTCATTTACACCTAAGTTGTCTATATT